CCAAACTCATATACCCAAACCCAAACCCAAACCCAAACTCATGTACCCAAACCCAAACTCAAACCCAAACTCATACACCCAAACCCAAACCCAAACTCAAACTCAATACCCAAACCCAAACTCCCAAACGGTTTGGGTTTGAGTTTGGGTTTGGTGCATGCCTATTCACTATCCATGTACATAGTTTTTGTGTGCAAATGCGTCTATCTTGAATTTAGTTTTTACATAAAATATTGAACATCGCGGTTCGAATACACACTGGTTTCGTTGAAGAGTGAGTTACTTACAATGTTAGACTAGAATAAACATTGGATGCTTCTATATCAGAGGCGATCGAAACCGATAACATATACTTTCTAACGGATTCGATTCGACTCATTCTCTTACATAGAAAAACATTTTAATGTTTTTGCAAAGATTACTTTCATATCTAGAAAAAATCGTAATATCTCCTTTCGAATTTTCTTCCAAAAGAATATTACTTTTTCGTGTGAAACTCATTATTAATATATTGATTTATATAGGTTTCCTTAGTATTTATTGCAATGAATATTGAAAGAATTCTTATGCATCTATATTTTATTATTAAATCTGAAACAAAAACGTGCTGCTAGTCAGTAATAAAATTGGAAAGAAGTCAAAACATGTAGTGAATCCTGCGTTTTCACAAAATTCAGTGTTTTTATATTCTTTTGATTACAAGCTATTTAGTTTTGTATTTATTGAGTTTCAGTAGCCTTTTCTGAATTTCATTACTTCATGCATATTCAAAGATCGCTTCGGTTTTTGTTCTTGAATTGAAAAACTACAATAGAAATCAGATTGTACGAAATAAAATGACTTGTAAACGTTCTAAAGTAACAAAGACAACAACAATGCTGTAATTCCTATTTGAAACAGTATAGTATTTCATGAGAGAAGTGTACCTGTCTAAATTGGACGATCAAAAATTAGTTGACAAACTTTATCACAAAACTATAATAGTCTTCGTCAGTAACAAGAAAAATTATTGGTAATAAGTACATTAAATAAATGTAACAGAAATCACTTAGAAATCTTGAGATTACTGTAAAGATGCATTACTTCTCTCATATATCACTAGAACGTAAAAGGCATTTACTTTTTTTGTTTCTAAATTTGTCTTATCAAAACATCATTATAGTATTGTAAATAGGCTAACTATCAAAAAACATTGTTGAACTTGTTAAAGAATATTTTAATTATGATGCACGTCTCTGTCATTTGATTATATACTTGTAAAGATTAGATCATTTTAGAGAAACGTATAATTGAACTTGATGATAACTTTAATCTCTGAAATAGTATTGTTTTCTTTTTTTATTTGCGTAATTTATTCCAGTCAGCTTTTAATTTCACATAGTATTATTACGCAATATTAGTTAGTTCTCACAATGCATTTACAATTTGAAGTTTCATCTATTTTCTTATTTGCATAGGAAACAAATTTCGTTTGGTCTTATCTTTCATCTTTTTGGGATCTCATACACTGTTTAAAACGATAACCAAACAGAATAATGAGCACTGAGATTGAACAAAACAGTCGAAGTTAATTAAAATGTTTTTGTATTTTTCTTTTATAAGAAATAGATCCATATCTGACTTCTACTTGCTAAACTGTGTTTGAACATATTTGACAATCGTCCTTTTTTATACATTTCTAATTGAACAAACAGCTCGAATATAGGCATCTTCATTTTATTGAACCTACTTTTGGAATGACGAATTTAACTTCAATTCCATTTTCCTTAGTGAAATTAGATCGACTCGAGTAATTCACATATTCGATTATGTTTCCATTTTAAATATCGCATGAGAGACAGTAAATACGATATTATAAAAAAAATGATCGTGTATGAACATTTATACGAATACTTACCAAAATTTGTTCTACGTTTATCCAGAATTGGAAAACCGTTTTGATCGACACCTGTAGATAAATCCAGTAAATTTAAGATTGGTCAACGCTTATCCAATTCGTCCTCTTCAATCATTGTTGACAAACATGGTTTTCGTTCATTTTTTTTTATTATGTCTTAACTACCTTTTTATCTTTCACCAATCGCGTTCTCACCACTTTTGCAATATTTTATCTATTCATAAATATTCAATAATCATACTTTCCTTAGTTAAGAAAAAGCAGAATGGACTGTAGATTTCTGTTCATAAAATTATTCATCGTCAATCGACATTATTGGTCTCAAAAACAAGAGACACAAAATAATACATGTATATTTGGTTTCTCAATTCTGGATAAGTCATCTTATCCGACAGGGTCCTTTTCGAACTATTACCTTCCATTTGAAAACTCGAAAGACATACCATTTTGTAGAGAATTAAATTCTCTGCAAGAGCCAATAATAAAGTCTTCTGTTAACTTAAAAGCGGCTATGAAAAAGGCAAGATACTCAAAATTTTTCAACAAAATCAGTAAAAAATTGAAATTTTTGTAAAAATGTTTCAAAAGAAGGGCTTTTTTCTGAAAACAAAATATAGGACTGAATAGCGCCAATCTTCAATATCGATGAAGTTTTCCGAGCACTTTCAAATGAGACGTTACTCGAAATTATTGGATTTAAATTGGCTGTGAGAAACGAGAAATGCTAAAAATCATAAAAACATCATCAAAATGATTTTTGACAATTTTCATACTTTGAAGGGTATCTCTATTAAAATACCTGCAACTCGGTGATTATTAGGTTTCAAGCTCTAAAAAGATTTTTATTCCCACAGTTTTGCACGTAGAATCGATTGAAATTTAAAAAAAATGACAGATTAGAAAAAATCAGGTTATGGCCTATATAGCCTTTACTCGATTTTCTCATAGTCTCTCTTAAAAACTGAATTTAAAAGCTAAAGATGATTAATATGATGAGTCCGAATGCGTTGTGTGATTTAATTTTGATTTTCAGCAGATTTGTAGGGTTTTTTAGGACATAGCTAAGTTCTTTATTGTTTAGTTTGGACACCAGTGAAACTGCAACTGATCAATAAAATCTCCAGATCTACCTGATACATAGCGTACTGTGTATCCTGTATATTGTTCAATGTAAGTTGTTGTTCCTTGTTGGCGACCGTACCATGGACTAGATCTTCCTTTTGTTGTGTGAAATTGAATACCAGTAATCATCTGCATTGACCATACCGTATCGACTACACGTGTAACCTTGTTTATTCTTTCATTACTATCTTTGTCAAGTGTAAACTGCTTATAAACCTCGACATTTACTGGATTTCCTTGAACTGCTGTTGTAATTAAAGCATTTGATGTTGGTGTCGAATAAATAAACTGTAGAGAGTTGAGCAACGCATTTTCATTCTTTACAGTTGCAAGGATTCCGTATAAATAAAGCGAACATGACTCCGAATTTCCCAACGTTTCCGAGTTGTCATCAAACACATGACCTCCTGTTCCGCCAAGTTGTTTACCAGATATAATCTTATAGGAAACTGAAATGAAAGAAAGATTATTTAGTGCGTGAATCACATGTCACTCATATCGTTCGAATCAATTAATTGAAAGCGAACAGTTATTTTCTAACTAAATTATAACAATATTGGTAGTTCAGTTCTCGTTACTTATTTGAATATTATGCCGCTGGTATTCAGAATTTGTAAGGTCAGTTTGTCCCTTTGGGAGCGAACAAATTAAAATTACGAAACAGTTCTTGAAATAATACAGTTAACTGTTTTGGTAAGCTACCATAGATTTCATTTTTTCGATTCCAGAAACATGAGATAAAACAATTTTCAAAAGTGTTATCTTCCTCAGTGCAACTGAAAAGCTTTTTCTCGAGAGTGGGAGTTGTTATTCAAGCTGAAATTCTGTAGGAGTTGTGTCAAAAATTTTCCTTTGTATCGCTATCCCATACAATCGATAACATTAAAAAAATGAATCTTTAATCAGCGTTGTCTGCAAAGTTCAAGCAGCACAAATATTCAAATTTAATTAACTTCCTTGTTCTGACAATGAATTCCATAAGTAGGACTATCGTTCTAATCTCATATCACAAAAACTTGCCACTCATGGCTATCCAGTCTTTCGACCCTGATTCTCTATAATTAACTTTATATGATCATTCAGATTCCCACATTTTTAATTGGATATACCTGATGAATGATTAGTTGATGGTGGATTCGGTTTGGGTTTGATGTTAAAACGAACATTTTGTTGAATAGTAGCAAAAATACTGGAACATTGATCTTTACCGATGCCTCTTGTTCCCTTTATGTATAACGGCTTTTCAGGTAGTTTGTCAGCTATTTTTTTTTTAAATTTGCCTGAATTTTGAGAGAAGTTTCAGAAGAAATCTCAAAACCAAACGATATCGTAATGTTGTTTTTGAGGATTTCATGGTAGGTTTGATTTAGTGGTTGAATCACAAGTTGAAAACTTGTTAATCGACTGAGTGCATCTCGTAACACAGTTGATCCTGCCAACACACTTGCTAGATGCGATTCGACCATCTTCAGTTGCTTCTCTAGTGATGCTATAAGCGAATAGTGAGCTCGTTGTTCATGGAGTATTACTGCAATTCTTGCCAGTTCAATATTAGCTGCATTAAGCTGTGCTTGAGCTGTTTTATGCTGTGCTTGTTGAGCAGCCAAGTTCTTTTGGTTAAGACTAAGACGTTGTTGTGCATACTGTAAATTTTCTTCGGCTATTCTTAGGCTTTCCCTGGCGTTCGCGCCAGCAGTTGCATCGTGTACAATACAATAGACAGGAATAAACCATAAGAAACGCTTTTTACGTCGTCCGAAGCCGCAGTTGCTAGCATCCCTTTCTTTTTCCTCTGCATCAGTGACTGCACTCTGGGCTGAATTAAGCGACTGTTGACTATCATGTACATATGATTCAGTTTCTCTTATTTGATTTCGAGTATATTGAATATTAAGACTGGCTTGATCAATGAGTTTTTGGTTTTGATCGACTCGCTTTTCTTGATGCGATATAGATAGAACAAGTCGAGTGATTTCTTCATAGACAGTTTTGCGAATATTTTCACTAGCATTAGTTGCTTTATGCAACTCGTCGTACACGTAATGAGCGGCACACATAATCGATTTGACCAGGGTTTGTATAGTTGTCTCGTCGCTGTTGAAATCGGTTGCTAGCAGCTTCTGTGCAATATGTTCATTTAACGTTGAGTAAGCATTAGCATATGGTGGAAGAATCGTTTGTGCTATTTGTTCTTTGATGTCCGAAGGTGATAGCTTTGTTTCACTGCTCTGACCTGTCAGAATAAGAAAACCATAGGAAAAAGAAAGTACACTGGTCAAGATGAGCTGCATACCTCAATTCAATGTTTTTCGATTCTATAACCTGATGCTAAGCGAAATACTTTTAATGCCGCATTAGTTAGGATGAGAAAAGTATGGAGAATGTAGGTAAATGCGAAGATATCGGAATACATCAGGAAGGTGAAGGTGCACATAAATTCAAACATGCGAGTGTGAGTAGCGCAGTCAGTAATAAATACAAAATTCACAGCCACATGACACATGGGCAAGCATAGCTGCAATCCGACCTACCCTGTAGAGAAAAGCGTTGTACTCGATTATTATTCCGATCGCCAACGTAGAGATTACCACGTCGATCGAAGAATAACCCGGTCACACCATTGAGCTGATTTGCTCCTTGTCCTCTATCATTCCCACCAACAATAACCGTGCCTTGTTTTGCACCCTGAGCCCAACGCATCACTCGATGATTTAAATCATCTGCCACATAGACAGTACCCATTGTATCGACAAATATTCCGTTAGGATAGCGCAGTTGTGATAGAGAGTTTCCAATGCCATGGCCTCCAGCAACAGCAATGCCTTCTTTAGCATCTTTACCCCATTTCATTACACGATGATTTCCATTGTCTGCCACATAGAGATTCTGTTGTTGATCGACAAAAATGAAATATGGGGACAAGATCTGATTGAGATCATAACCTGCACCATGGCCACCAGCCACAAGAGTTCCAATCTTATCTCCTGTTTCATATCGTCTTACTTCCCGATTGTCGATGTCAGATACATGGAGACGTCCTTCACTATCCATTGCCCTTCCTACGCAGCTAATGTTGTCAATAAGAGTTTGTCCTTCGT